AAGGCCCCCCCCCCCCCCCAAAACAACTGGAATGAAGACAGACACAGTTTTGCCAAGATAGAACTTATGGGCAATGAGATGCACGCCTTAGTGCCCTGCTTACACTAAAGCGCAGCCTAAGTGATTGAGCTTCTTTGAGCTTCAGGGCTTAAGCGCGCCTCAAATGAATCTTTGGTAACACTGGACAGAAAAAATCCAAATGCTTAGGCAAGAACTTGTTCACAAGAGCAACTGAATAATCAGTTCAAATAGAAAAAATAATGGAAATGCAAAAAAAAGGTATAAATTGCCTGCAGATGGTGAAACACTCAAAGAATGACTGAAAATTCTGGAATGATTTGAAAGGTCCCACACACGTAAGCTTCCATCAGAGTGAAGCACAAATAGAAGCTTTTTCTGGTGGAACTCTGATACTACTAGATCCTGCACTGCTGCAATCGACCTGCCCCTGGAAATAGAGACAAGGTAAAAGGGGGGGAAACAAGAGTGCATAAGACAACTGATAAACGGTAAGAAATAGCAAATCATAGTCAAAATATGTTGTGTAGATTGTAGAAAAATATAGTCATTAGCTGGATTGGCTCACTTCTCTTGGGGGTTTTTTTGGTGGGGGTTTGGTGGGGGAGGGGGGTTCCACATGCTTCGTATGCATGGGCATCAAATGCTATTTTTCAAGTAAAGCCATTAGTTTCAGTATGTAAAGTTCTAGAAGTCATCAAAATCCAAAGCATTGATTTACAGCATCTCTTGTTACCCACCTGGAGACATTTTAGTTCCTCTCTAATTTTGTCTCACATATTGCTCCAACACACTTTTTTGCCCAATATATGAGAGGGAGGACTGATAACTTTAAGGAATAGAGTTATGTTATCTAATCATTAAGCAATTAAGCTATGTTATCTTACTTCGCTACTAAGCCCTATAGTCTGAGTGAAAATAATAGTAGGGCCCATGTTAATTACGTACTTGCTTATGATTTAATTGTACAAGTAGTTTTTATAATTGATTTTTTGCTAATTTTAGAGTTATTTAGGTTAAATATTGATTGGAATTCCAAGAAATTTATGTCTTTACAGTTTGTTTGTAGTTACAAGACAAAACTGAAAACTTCAGTTGAAGCTGAAGCATTCAAAGAGCTCAAGAGTTGCAATTTCCAGCAAGTAGCTGCAGCCTAAGCCCTTGAAGCTGCAGTACAAGACGAGAAGGCCATGTCTAACTACATTTCTTGATATGAAATAGTAAATACCTTGACAAAACGCCCCACAAACGACCAAGACCACCATCATCACGCAGCTCCTGCACAAAGCCTATCAAGTTACAAAGTGTCAGCATGGACAGGAGAAAAGAGATGAGATCAAAGCGTAAGTGCAACAAGATCGTAAAAAGTAAAACATCTAGCTGCCACTCCTATGTTAAAGTAACTGTAGTAACAAGATAAAAGGACAAGAGAATCCATATTTCAAAACATAAAGTACAGCCAAAATGCAAAAGTTCCATAGCCAAAACACATTCAAAAGACATAAAATGAAAATTGAAGGGAAAATGTACAAGGACCTGGAGCTCGGTGGTCAAGGATGCCAAGCTGGAAGCATCCAACAGATCCATCACTTCTTCCAACTACCATCAATTCTGCTATTCCTGCCACTGCTGTTGTTGCTCCTTGATGAGGATGGGTCAGAGTGTTGAACTCAACAAAGTCATCGGATTGCAAGCGGGAGCTAGATACATAATTGGAGATGTTTTCAAGTCTAATAAGATAAGCAACCCCAGATACTGTCATGGCATGAAGCAGATACGGTCTGACAGAAGAAAATGTCATCTGCAAGAACCAAGAGAGCATCAACAATTGTTAAAGGTCCAAGAAAATCTTTGCCAACCATTAAAACAAACAAGACTATTATCAGCACAAAGCCAGCAAAAAACGGCATACTTCATTTTTGCAGATCAGCGCAAATGGAAAAAGTGCTTCTGGGAATACAATTTGCAATCCAGTTTTGGGGAACTCCTTATAACCACAGAACTCCATTATTTCCAGCACATTTGGCTGACTTCTGCAAATTTTCCTGTAGCAGCAGAATTCAGCAGTTATAGTTAGTCTGTGCAAGAAGAATACCAGGGTCATCAAACCAATATGCTACAGCGAACACATCAAGGAAGAAAGCATGTCGAATAACGACCAGACAAGACGGATATGTGAAAAGAATAAAATGAGATGTTCTTAACTCCTACTACAAAAGCAGGCAAAGCTCAAGTACAATTGGGGGCTGATCAGAGAGAAGCTCCATCACTATTTATTTTTCTAATAACACTATTTAATAATTTAATTTCTTTATCTTCTTAACACAAGGATGAAGGAACTACATAACATCCCTCACCCAGGAAAATGAAAAGAAAACTCCACATACAACAATTTTGCAGAGGAGTCGTACTCATCCATGCTAATGTATCTCTGGAAAATTAATAACTGAATTTTTCAATCATCAAGTTTATCTGAGGTCTTAGGTCTATCCCACGGTTGACATAGCTCATGTCACACAAGACAGGTCCTCTAGCGTTTTTTTTAATATGTTAGATCCTCAAAGACTTCCGGCCCTTCCCTGGACCCCGCGCATAGCAGGAGCTTAGTGCACCGGGCTTCCCTTTAGGTCCTCAAACACAAACAAAACTTTTATCCCTCCTCTCTATCCATGTTGGAAACCCACTGTGCATCAGGCTAGGCTCAAAATACACCAATTGGATCACACAAATATGAGTTCCAATTACAAGTATGAAAGAAATTTCTTCGAATAAGCTAAAACAAGATTGACTGTTTCATCATTCAATACAATCACTCGTCTTTTTAACATCACACACAGGCACACACCACCTCAATAGACACTCAAAACGGCACAATTGCATGCACATGACATGCATAAATTAACTTATATTTTAACAACATACGGGCTCCACTATTTCAATCCACACTCGAAAGGGTGCACCTGCATACATATGAATTGCATAGATCACTTGACACACTTTATATTTTAAATCCACTCCGGAAGGTACACTTATGTGCAAAAGAAATAAAACTACATTAGAAAAGAATGCACACATTCAATTATTCCAATCCACACTCAAAAGGGTAAACTTGTAATCATATTTGTAAGTTAAGACGAAGAGCATAAGGAGTGTACCAAGTGAAATAGGCGGGAGGATTTCCAATGATGGAGCAAGAACCCACATCTCTTGTAAGAGAAGTTGGAGAAGAAGCGGAAGCGGAAGTGGAAGTAGAAGAGGGAAGGGAGAGTTGAACGAACTTGACCGAATCGCTGCCAATAATGGGAACTTCCATACCTGCTAAACGCGACCTACTTTCCATTGTTGCTGTGAAGCGTACGAAATTGATAAATGGGGTTTTGGGATATTGATAACCGTACCAATTCTTGGGTTGAAGAGAACTGAAAAGTGCCGCAGGAGACTGACTGGAGGTTTTTGGTACTGGATTTTAGTGGAGCGCCGGAGGAGGGAAATTTTAGGGAAGTTTTCTTTAATAAGAAATCATTTGCAGTCCTTCGGTTCATAAGAAAAGAAAAATAATCCCGCATACGATGTGATTTTGTTTTATTTTTTTTTGAAATATCATCATCACTGTCTACAATGTGAATTATTTAATTTCGTGTTTGGATAAAATTTTATTTCCGGTATGAGTAATTTTGGATTAGTTATACTATAATATGATATTATTTTAATTATTTTAATATCATAATTAATGGAGTATGAAATGATAATATTAAAACTAATTATTTCGGTAAAAAAAATCAAATGACATAAATATCGATTTTCATTACTCTTCACTCAAAGTCTTTTAAGAAAATCAAGGTTATAAATTGAAGTGAAAAATTTCTTCAAGCTTATCTACTGTAAAATCAAACATATATTTTTATTATTTTATACATCCTATTTTTAATCGGACAAACTAAATATCTTTATTAAAATAATTTATTATTATAATCTTCATATTATAATTCCAATATGATTTATTGTGATTCAAACATTGGCTTTGTTTTAATATGGGCGCCACTGTACTCCCGTAACTATATGATATGAATACCCTAAAAATATGGAGCTTGTTATAAAATAAAGATTGTAAAGTAAAGACAGGTATAAAGAAAAATTGATATATTATTCGACGTCAAATCATGTACATAATGAACTGAAATCTCCTTTATTTATAGAAGAAAGGAACTGTACCAGATATAGATAATCTTCTAGCGAGGGTAATGTTTATCCATAACGAAATATCGAAATTGTCACGATCTTAAAACTGACCCGGTCGTGATGGCGTCTATTGTAAAACTATGTCAGCCGACACAACTCCCGAATTAATCATTTAATCAATAAAAGTCATTTTTAAACCTTTAATTAATCATGTATCTCATAATGTAAGTCTAAATGAACAGTGCAGAATAAATACACAAGCCCGATATCGGGGTGTCACAAGTCACGAGCATCTACTAAGGTCTGAAAATATACTAAACCAATTTAAGGAATACAAGAGGGAGAAGAGCAAGGCTACGAACGTCGGACAGCTACCTTGCTAACTCCAATGACTCTGCCACTGGGCAATCAACACCCGCTACCGGGTTCATAAATACCTGAATCTGCACACAAGGTGCACGAAGTAATGTGAGTACGCCAACTCAGTAAGTAATAAAAGTAAATGAAAGTTGAGCAGTAAGAAAACACGTAAACCACGTCAAAACGCTACAACAAATGAAGGACATTTCCAACACAGTACAGAAATCATTTACTTCGTAAATCATGTCGCGCCCCCTTTTTCTCGTGAAATCGAGTTTATGACATTTGGAAGGACAACTCGTTCCTTTTGGGAACTGAATTTGAATTTGAAGAGTCGCCACCTAATGATTAGGGTGCATTAGGACACCAAAAGAGTTTGATTTTGAACAACCAGAGATAGGGTAAGGGCTTAAAATTATTTCAAGGGAAAGGTATTAGGCACCCCTCAGAATCCACTAGTGTGGTTCCCGGCCAGACAATTATTGTGAATTTAGGTGCAATTAACATATAAGCAAATAAGGCTCAAATAAGAGGGGATTTCAACACAGAATGGATTTGAAAGTAAACCAGTTTTGAAAGAACAATTAGAAAAGCTGATTTTTTAAAAATAAGGAGTAAAAATGCTAAAGAATAAATGAAAGGGGGTCCTAGGTTTATTAAAAATATGGATCACCCCACACAATGTCCGGTAATCACTCCTCAATGAGGGACTACGCGTGACATTATCGCGTGGTCATCATATCCATATCTACCCTTCTCACACTGTTAAGGTATTAAAGTGCGGATTGGTCTCGATTACTTATTGCATGCTATTACTCGTCACATTCCTATCAGTCCCGGAGGCACTTAGGACTACTAATCCTAAAAGGGATGGATGTTGGGCTTATTTGGAGTTTTAAAGGTAAAAATTCTAAAGCGATATACAAAACACATATGCAAGTTTGGGGAAACATATAGACAAACAGAGGCTCGTGTATACCTCCTCAAAACAAAACACATAAAGTAGCATGTCTGGCACGTACTATTTAGGTCTGATTTAAAAGCATTAAAGACGAGGGAGATGAGATTGTTGAGGCAGTTTTAGTTTATTGCATAACTCAAATAAGAAGTCTGAAGTATGCATGCATGCTGGTTGTAATAATTAATAGAAGCAGATTCGATTTTCAATTATTGCTCTAAGGATTGCCTAAGTGTTGGACAAAGATCCTATAGGCATGGTATCTACTGGATTAAGAAAACGAAACAAGAAGGTTCGAAACAAACTATTTGCATGCATACTTATTAAACTGTTAAGTGATAGAATCAGATTATTAAAAGAGAGACAGGATTTAGACGAGCTGGTTATAGGTTTCGCAACTGACGGTATTCATTACTACTAGTTTTAATGTCTAACATTGAGTGAGGCGAATCAGATCATAGGCATGCTTTCTATACGTTGTTGATTTTAAAACCTTATAGACGGTGTGTAAAAATGCAGAAGCCTTACAGACATAGTATCTAAATGCAGGAGACAGGTTTTAAACCTATAAACATGGTATCTAGATGAAGAATATGCACAATGGAATAATTCTATAGGCATAATTTCTATATGCATAATTCAAAATACCTATAGACATGGTTTCTAGATGCAGAAGCCTTATGGACATGGTATCTATATGCATAAGCCTTAGGGGTCGTTTGGTAGGGTGCATAAGAATAATGTTGAACATGGTGTATTAGTAATGCTTGCATTAGTTATGCTGATATTAGTTATGTTGACATATTTCTTATCCATTGTTTGGTTTGATGTATTAAAGTATTGCACAATTTCTAAAAGAATTGTTTTTTTACAAAAATACCCTCAAAACTAGTCCATCACTCAAACTTTTTAAAAGAAACATATGTTGAGAAATATTTTTATATGAAAAAGTTTTAAAAAATTATTTGATTTGTCTACCTATATTGTAAAATAGAACTAATTATTTATTTATAAAAAAGAAAATATGCTAAGTATTTATTTATTTACTAGAGATATAATTTTATTTCTCACTATTTAAATTATTTTAAACTTGCATTAATATAATAACTAGCATATTTTAATCATGCATAAATTTTGAAGGATAATTTTGTCTTTAACTAAGCTAATGCATGCATTAAAACTTATTGCATTGCTAATACCATGGTTTTCTATGCATTAGTTATACATAGGATAATACCAAATAGGATGTATAACTAATGCTTGCATAACTAATGCATATGTTCAAAATGTCTACCAAACAAGGTATTATTAATACACAAAGCTAATGCAAGCATTATTTTATCTAACACATCCTACCAAATGACCCCTTATAGACATAGTATCTATATGTGGTTGAATATGCAAAATTAGAACAACCATATAGGCATGGTTTTTATATGTAGTTGAATATGCGGAATTAGAACAGTCCTATAGGCATGATTTCTATCCTTTGCATGCATAGTCACCCACCCTTTTTCACTAGCCAGCACCAAGTGTTTATTACAACTTATGTGACGACCCAAGGGGTCATCACCGTAATTCTTCCTTGTTCCGTGCTCCCGAGGCCTTGAAAACCTCACTTTTAGTCGCCTCGATTTGTATGCGCAGTTCGGGCGCGTAGCCGGAAAGTTTTATGTTAGAATATGTGGATTTTGCGGAAAAAAAATTGATGAATTTTGGTATTAATATGCATAATGTTGACTTCGGTCAACATTTTGGGTAAACGGAACCGGACCTGTGATTCGACGGTCCCGGAGGGTCCGTAGAAAAATATGGGACTTGGGCGTGTATCCGGAATCAAATTCTGAGGTCCCATGCCCGAGAAATGAATTTTTTGAAAGAAATTGTTTTTCTGAATTTGATATGAAATTTGAAATGAAAAGGAGTTAGAAAATATAGGTATCGGGCTCGTATTTTGGTTCCGACGCCCGGTACAAATCTTAAATCTGTGTTAAGCACTATCTGTAAAGCTTGGCAAAAAACGGACGTCATATGACGTGTTTCGGACTTAAAATGGGGAATTTGAGTTATGAAAGTTGA